CGTCTGGCTCGTCGACTTCTACGCGCCGTGGTGTCCGCACTGCCGCCACTTTGCGCCGCACTACGAGGCGGTCGCCGACCACTACGCGCCATCGCCGTCGATTCACTTTGGTGCGGTCGACTGCACGGTGCACGGCGACATTTGCTCGCGCTACGAGATCCTTGGGTACCCGGCGCTGCGGCTCTTCCATCTCGAGCCGAAAGCAGTCAGCATGCCCTTCTCGCCGCGGCCCAAGTCGTTCGAGACCGTCGTCAAGTGGATCGAGTCGGCGATGGCCGAGAAGAACCGCACCACGGGCGTCGACGTCCCCGACTTTAGCGCGTTCAAGCTCGACGCGCACAAGAAGAACATGCGCCAGCACAAGGCCGACGACGCCACCAAGGTGGCCGCCGTCGATGCCCGCGCCGATCGACTGCGGGACGCTGGCCACGCCCTCCTCTTTGCGCTCGAGACGTCCTTCTTCATGGGCACCGACGTGCTCGACGGTGCGCGCTACGCCGCTGCGCGTGCCTGGCTGCGGCTCCTCCGGTCGCTCTTCCCGCTCGAGGCCAACAAGACACAGCTCGCCGAGCTGCTGTACCGATTCGAGAGCCAGCGGTCTTGGAGCAGTGACGAGTGGCGGCTCTTGATTGCGCTTTGGAAGTCGGACGTGCACGGGAAGACGTACCCAAAGGACCTCTTCACGCGCAAGAGCTTTGCAGTGTGCGAGAACTTTACCTGTGGCATTTGGCTTCTCTTCCACGAGCTCACGGTTGCCGAGATTCCAGCGACCTCGACGCTCACGCCGCTCGACGTTGCGCTGCAGATCCGGTCGTTCGTCGAGCATTTCTTTGGCTGCGAGCTCTGTCGCGTGCACTTTTTAAAAGCCAACCCGACACCCAAGCTGCAGAATCTGCTTGGTCACAGCCACAATGCCACAAGTGCGCTCGTGCTCTGGATGTACCACATGCACAACACGGTCAACGTCCGCGTCGAGCATGCCGTCTGGCCGTCCAAAGCGGTACGCGTTGTGGAGGCTTTTTAAAGTGTTGATGGAGCAACGTGTAGGAGTGCAACCGTTGCTACACATCAGACGAAGCGACGACGGACAAGGCGCTTCTCGCCGAGCCGGCGATCCTCAAGTACATGCAGTTGGCATACCGGTTTCCTGCCTCGGACGCCGACGTCGACCGACCGGTCGTCGAAAATGAAGTGGCGATGGCGGCCGACGGCACGGCGCTCAAGGGTGCATCGGCGTGGAACGCCTACACGCCGTCGACGCCACTCGAGTTTGCGCCGTTCCTTTTGATCGGCTTTGTGGTGTACCTCGCCTACTGCCGGAAGCACGCGCGATCGCACGATACTGCCAAGGAGTCGTAGTCGATCGAGCTGGTCGCTTTGGACTAAAGATATTTGGATGTATTGACACAAACGACGAGTAATCGACTACTCAATGCCAACGCTAGTCGATGCGAGCGACGACGGCTCTTGCGGGAGTTGCCGATGGATGCCATCGTGGTCGTTTAAAGTTTCTTCTTCGGTCGCGTCCACGCAAACCCGAGGCGGTCGAGGTCGGCGCGACGCTCGTCGGTGAGGCCGTCGTGACGCTGCGCGCGTAGCCGCTGGACAATGAGCCCCAGAGGCATCCACCACAGCCGATCTGGCCACATTTTGTCGTTCTGCGGGACCGTAAACGTACTCGGGACGTTCATATCGCCATACAGCGCCTTGTAATGCGCGAGGGCTTGGAGCTTGCGCGCCCACTCGGCCTCAAAGTACTGCCACGCAAAGCCGAGATCGTCCAGCGCCGCCCGCCGCTCGGCCGAGAGCGTTTCGCTGGCGCGGAGGTTGGCGACCACGTGGCCGAGCTCGAGTTCCCACACGTCGCGGGGCCACTCGAGGTCGTCCTCGGGCACAATGAACGCGCGAGGCACGTCGACGTGGCCATACAACGCCTTGTAGGTCGTGAGCGCGCGCAGCTTTCGGTCCCACTCGGCCTCGTTCATGTCCCAGACAAAGCCGAGCGCGTTTAGGGCGTCGACGCGCTCGGGCAGCAGCCTATCGACATGGTGGCGGAAGGTCGCGACGGCGTCGCCGAGCTGGAGCTGCCAAATCTCGGATGGCCAGCCGTCGTGAACGGGCACGACAAAGTCCCGGGGGACGTGGAGGTTGCCGTAGATCTTGCGGTACGTGGCCAGCGCGAGCAGCTTCTTCTCCCACTGCCACGTACGCACGTGCCACACAAAGCCAAGCTCGTCGAGGACGTGCCGCTTCGCCAATGGCAAGGCGCCTTGCTGCGCGAGCCGGCGATAGCTGTGCACGACCACGCCGAGTTGGAGGCCGCGCAAGTCCTTTGGCCACGACGTGTCGTCCACAGCGATGGTGAAGCTCGGCACGATGTGCAGCGACCCGAACCGGGCCTTGTACGCCTCGAGCGCTTCGAGGTTGCGCTCCCAGACGTGGTCGCGCTGGCGCCACACGAACCGCAGCTGCTTGAGCTCGTCGACGATCTCGGGCGCGAGCGTGCCTTGCTCATACGCTGCGCGCACGTGGTAGACGGAGACGGTCGTCGACCGGGCTGTCGGCGGCCATGGCGCTGCGTCCGGCACGCGAAAGACGGCTGGCAGCAGCGTGTAGTCGGAGGTCGGCGCCTGGAGGTCGCGGAAGACGCGGACGACGTCGACGAACGCGCGCTGCTTCTCAAGCGGCAAGCGCTTCGTGGCGAAGGTCGCCCGCTGCAGTCGTTGTCGGAGCAGCATCCGATGGCGCTTCAAGGCCATTGGTCGATTCCGCGAACGGGTCATTCCTTCGTTGCGAGTGCTACACCTTCTCAATGGTATCGATCAGAAATGGTACCGGAAATAGTGTTCAACCTGATTAGTTGCCTCTAGCAAGACAACATGAAGCAGGAAACTGCTACGCATGAAGAACACTTGCGTGTAGGGTGACACTTTCAGCCTCACAATAGCACAAGGCTTGCTATCTGGTCAAGACTTGGCCAGATAGCTTTTGCGCACTTGGCGGCCAAGTGCGCAACCTGGTAATACAAAAAGCGACAACCTATCCTCGGATTCACAGCTGTCAGTGACTCGGATTGGTTGTCAACTCCGTTCGGATCGAGGTGGGTACCTGCGGTATCTCAAACAGGTCCCGTGCGGGGTGAGCTGGTAGGAACTTTTGAATGCGAAGCGTTGTTTACCGGTATTTGCGACGACGGCGCGTTGGCCTAGACAAAAGTCAACGCGCGACCTTCGCTGCGCTGCGGTGCGCAGACTTTTCCGGGCCAACGCGCCGTCGTCGCTTGCTGCAGTCCTCGCGCGCTTTCACATTCGCACCTAATCGGAAAGTTGCGTGAATTTCAGTCAAGTGCGCCGTCGTACTTTATCGAAATTGTTATACTTTATTCAAGTATAACGTCCGGCGATGTGACAGCACTTAACAGGGATTCCCAGTTCGCACCTAACAGGACGCATTTGGCGCGATATGATTGGCTCAGACCAAAGAAACTGCGTTTCATTGGTCATCAAATCTAAAATTATAGCCAATGGGTTGGCCAGAATGTACGAATTAATCCCCTGGGATGCTGGTACACCACGTAAACGTTCCTACCAGGATTAAACATTGGTTGTAGGTGTTCCAATAGACGATGTTCCGAAGCACCACGGACTGAAGCTCTGAAACGTTGCAACTCATCTCTGACACCTTGTCAGAGATGAGTAAACCAAGGTATTTATTCCCTTGGAGTAAACCAACTTGTAGCGGTGCAAAAGATTTAGAGTCCTGGAGACCATTGACAGTGATCTTTTTATCAGCTTTGAAAGTTGAGACTTCGTAACTTCCGCACCGCTAAGATAACGTTATTGTTTCCCAGCGGCCGGAGCATTTAGACGAACAATCGATCTACTAACTAGTATGAGCTAGAGGTCTATGGGGCTACAGCACCTAGCATCAACGTATAATACGTTCATGGCTCCTCTTGGCTACGGGCATGAGTCGGCGACCGACATGATTATATTGCGACTTTTGACCCATCATCCAATCGTTCTCATGCCGTCTAAAATGTTTCTATTCTCTTGTCGGCGCTGTTGCGTTGCTCATTGTGTCTTCCCTTGACAGAGTCATCCCCTTGGTCGGAACGCTACTCGTAATACATCACGTTGAGTTGCTTTTGTCGCTTCGAAGGAAAGTATAGTACATGTACTGATGATGTGTTGTTCGAACTATTATGTACCCCTGGTTCGAACGCGGGTGTGATGTGTTGTACATGTAAGAGGCTTACTGTGTCCCGAGACGAAGTGCAAAGCCCAACACGGCCCATGTTTCGTTGTCTGAAAATGGAGATTTCGCTCCTTCCCGTCGCTCAACCAACGCACACGCGGTGACCCACACAATTACACACCATAGGCGCAGCGACGGCCCTGGCCACGGCGTGGGTGCAACGTGGTATATCGGGGCCTGTCGTCTGCCATTCTATCTTTCCGGCTTGCCTCGATTGGACCTCGGAGTGCAAGCTCAGCAACGCATCAATCGACGCGCATTGTTTCTGCGTTCGGACCTCGGCCACGTGCTTCTTCGGTGGCGTGGTGGCCCCACAAGTCATTTGGTATGTCCAGCGCCACTTGCATCTTTTGCGCCAATGTCGCCGAGCCAGCCTCGACGAAATGCACGGCCCACAAGTACCGGCGAAAGTGCGTCGTCGACGACTGCTTCAACCAGGTCTACGCGCGCCTCCGCTGCGTCAGCCATGGTGGCAAGAAGCTCTGCAAGCACCCGCAGTGCGAAACCCCGGCGCGTCGCGGCAGCTTTTGCACCAAACACGCGGCCAAGGTCGCGCGCCCGGCCCTTCACGCGTCTCCGTGCGCTGTCGATGGCTGCGGCATGCAAAAGCGCGTCGGCGGCTACTGCTGGCGCCACCGCAATCGCATGGCACCACCCACGTCGGTAGCCGACCTCGATGATGACGCGCGCGCGCTCGACGCCCTCCCACAGCTTTTCGATTGGCTCCAAGTCGAATTTGCCACGGCTTGACACTGTACTGCCGTAAAACTATCCTATTAGCCCATCGTAGCGACTCGTGTTTCGATCGCGTTGTTGTTGTTGGCCGTGCAGCTCGCATTCGCCATTCGTCACTTGTCTTGCCGAAGCCGACTGCGCGTGACGGGGCCAGCCACGCTGGCGCGGGGTACCCCCTCGGGGGACATGGACGTCCCGGCGGTAGAAGGCAAGAGAGGTGCTGGCGACCGCGTCAGGGATCCGGTGCGAAGTACGGTCTTGGTAGAGGTTGGCGTCACTGCGGTTGAAAGCAGCGCTGCGGGAGCGTGCGTCATGGGACTTATCGGAACGTCCGCGAGACGCCGGACGACCCACGCTTCAAGTCCCGTGGATGTCCACCGGCGCGCGAGGCAGAACTGCGTCGCCATCCTCACCTGCGTCCACCGGATACAAATGCGCCTTGCCTTGCTCGTGGGCGATCGTTATGTAGACGCGACATTCGGCTTCGGTGAGGCGCTGCATGCTCTTACCTCCCGAGTTCATCACAACTTGCGAATAATGGCACTCGACCAAGAGCCCCTGCTTGACCTTGACAGGACTCGACGTTTGCGACGGTTGACCGCCTCTTCCCACTATACCAGATAATCTGGTTGAGCGCCACTTCCCACCCAACCAGATAATCTGGTCGAGTGCGTTTGTGGTTAGATCCACAAGTGCAAGTGAGCTGCTCAAATCTCCAACGGCGGGAACCCACTTGACCCATTCTTGTCGGTTAGGAAAAACGTCGCTTAGAAGAGGACGCGTGTAGTACACTATTTAAAATACGTGGAATGGTGTGAGTAGTGTACAACGGCCCGTTGACCAAGGTGATGGCAGACGACGCCGACGCGTGGGCGGCCGACCGGCGCCAGTGCCAGCGGTACGCGTTCTTTAGCTGCGCGGCCGGCGCCGTCGCCTTGGCCTCTACGTATGAGCGCTGCATGAGCGCCACCTGCGGCAGCCTCGAGGCCATTGTCGAGCTCGCGGTCAAGTCCAAGCCGAGCGTCCTAGCGCTCCTCAACGTGTACATGCTGTGCCTCTACGCGGTCTTTCATGCAGCCTCGCCGCTGGTCTTTGGCGCTGTTCGCCTCGCCGAGGTAGGCCGCGTGCGCGAGCACATGCTGCAGTTCCTCGTCCTGCGCTGCATCCTACTCCTCAACACGCTCGGAAGCGTCGGTTTCCACGCCATGCTGCGCCTCGTGCTCTGGATGTCGATGCTCACGCTTCTACATGCAACGCTAACGCTTCTGCGGCTGCGGCTGAGCTACGTACGTCGTCGAGGCTGTCAATGTATCACCATCACATACATGCTCATGGACGGTCTAGGCGGGTTTGGCCGATCGCGCCACCGGGACCATCCTCGGCGTGACCCTCGGGCTGCTGCTCGGTCTTCTACTAGCGTCCTGGCATGTGTTTGCCGCTGCGTCTTCGGTGCTGTGTCTGCTTACGTGCACCGAGGCACTCTTGGCACTGGTCAAATGGGCGCACACGGCGCTGCTCGTGCTTGGCCCGCGCCTCGAGCGCGACCTGCTGCTGCTCAAGGCGCAGTTCATACTGGACGTGACGCACCTCGTTGGTCTGCTCGCACAGTACATGGGGGTGCTGTCCCTCGGTGGCTTTCGTGTCTCTTTTCTGGACTTTGTTCTGGTCATGAACGTCAAGCGGACGCTGAGCAAGGCCCAAGGACGACTGGCCGAGTATTATGACTACGCGGCGATTCTCTCGGAGCTTTCGACAGCGTACGACAGCGGTGCTGCTTTTCTGTCAGATCTTATTGGCGGTATGTCTATAGGCTGCCCGACGTAAGCATCATGGACGAGCACGGCGAGCCGCAGGTTTGCGCCATTTGTCTCGCTCCCTTATGCGTGGCCAAGCAACTCGAGTGCGGCCACGTCTTCCACCTCGGATGTCTACGGCAGTGCTTTCAGGTACGACGCACTTGGGCGTTTGTTGGTTGGAAACTCATTAGGAACAAATGCGCCTCGACAAGCCATGGCAGTGTGCGCTGTGCCGCAAGCTCGTGGCACGGGCCCACCGGACGCCGTGGCGGGCGCACCGAAGGCGGGACATGGGCGACGATGCCAGTATTGCATCCCTCTTTTCGTTTGGTACGAGTCCCACGCTTCATTGCCGAGACTCTAATGCCAAGTAGCGAACGACGATGGCGCGCCGGGAGCGACGTAGCATCCCTTTTATCTATTGAATGTATACCTTGTACACCCACCTTGGATGCACATAGCGCTGCCGCAGTCCCTGGGGCGAGCTATGTACCTTCGTTCTTGCTGGGCGCATTGGCACAGACGATGTGCACTGGGGTCGCGTCAAGCACGCTCCACGCGCCACGTCACACAGTGTATGTTGCCCTGTCTAAAAACACTCTTCTTACGGTGCGGCGCGGCGCCTAATATCACTGGCTCGCCCGCTGTTGCGTCAATGGACGACGAAATAGCTCTATCCTTACTCTATCGTGTCATTCGCATCGAGGTGGGACCCTCTGGTAGCGGGACCGCGTACCAAATCCAGCCCAAGGTTGCGTTCAAATAGTCCAATTCGTGACCAGCTTGACCAGCAGTTTTATCCGGTCGACCGGATATAGCTACGGACCGGCAGCCACCGAAACCACTAAGCGGACGATGGCCGAGGTGATCCGTGACGGCGATACCGTCGTGTGCTACACGAGCGATGACCGCGTCTTCTTCCAGGAGGTCTCGCCCAAGATGTACGCCTTGCGCTGCTAGCCAGAGCGCTCACCTCGCCGGCGTAGGACGCTGCGCATTGGCAAGGCCACCGTGACGCTCAAGTCGGCCATCGGCCACCCGTACGGCACGATCTTCGAAGAGAGCGAGAAGGCGCTGGTGCCTGTCACGGGCGGTACGCCCATCCCGCCGCCGCCGCCGCTGCTTGATGCGTGATAGGCCTCTTCCCGGATCCGGTCGCGCCCGAGGTCGGCGACTTCCAAGTCCCGACCAATGACAACCGCCACTACACCGACACGAACGACTCGCAAAAGCTGAGCAACGTGCAGATCGCCGAGCTGCGCGCGTCCGGCGTCAACGGCCCGGAGCTCATCGCGAAGCTTGTCGAGAACTCGGACACTTGGGACACGAAGACCGAGTTTTCGAAACAAAAGTACCTCAAGAAGAAGCAGCAAAAGTACATGCCGCGCATTCAGATGGTGCGCTGCACGGCCATGAGCCTCGCAGAGGTCTACCACGCGCGCCAGCCCTTCAAGATCCTCAACCTGCGCGCCGACACGCTCGGCCAGCTCCTCCAGTACGGCAACGTCTACGCCGGCGCGCAGGTCCTCGTCGTCGACACGTGCATGGGCCTCGCCACGGGGGCGATCGCGGAGCGCATGCTCGGTACGGAACCCTGCTCGTCGCTGCATTGCTTTACGATACGAGGCTAGGCCATGGCCGCATCCTCGCAGGTTTCGAAGGCCAGCAGATGGCGGCCGACACCCTTCGCCGGTTCAACTTTGGTAGAGCACAAGAAAGAGGAGTGGGTAGCTCACGCGATGCTAGAACCGGCGGTGCACGACAGCATCGTTCCGTTCCCTCTGGCGTACGTCGGGCTTTTGACCAAGGACGAAGCGGACCTGGCGCCGCCGCCCAAGTCGCAGGCCGAGATGGACTCGACCAACGAAGAGATTGAAGCCCGCCAGCGCGAAGTTGCCGAGCGTGTTGCTCTCTATTCGCCGGAAGAGCAGGCCAAGTACCTCGCCAAGAAGGAAGCGCGCATTAAGGCGCGTCAGACCAAGACCCGCCGGACGCCGGCCGAAGTGCGCGCGCTGCTACGCTCGCCGTCCGACAGCTTGATCATTGCGTCGCACTACGACCCGCTCTCGATGCTGCAGGCGCTGCTGCCGCTCCTCGGCCTCTCCAAGCCGTTTGTCGTCTACTCCGAGTACCTCGAGCCGCTCACGACCGCCTTCGACGCGCTTCAGCGCATGGATTCGATCGTCAACTTGCAGCTCAACGACACGTGGACGCGTGAGTACCAGGTGCGTACCCTCGGATGCCACGCTGCGTTTCTATAACATGTGGTGCAGGTACTGCCGGGCCGGACGCACCCGGAAATGACCATGAGCGCAGGCAGCGGGTACATCCTCTCGGGCATCAAGGTCGAGTCGTCGCCGCCGCCGGCGTCCCACGCAACGCTCAAGTCGATCCCGCGCCGGACTAACAAAAAGCCGCGTGCGATTTAAGCTACTGACCACTGAATGTCCTTCATCACCCCTCACTTGGTTGTCCTTCCAGCTTCCTTCCATCGCCCCGGACGGAGCATGATGAAGATCACGTCTCCAGCATCATCGGTGCGCGGCCGAGTTTGCCCTACCCCTAGCTTTGAACCCTAGCCCTTTCTCTAACGGCAAGCGTTGTACGAAAGACGGTGATGGACAATGTGTCTGTACTCTATCTACGGGTGGGTCTATGCTAGCGTCTACTGCGTTAAGCGCGGCTCGGTCGTCTTGGGTATCCTTCGAATCGAAATGAGCTTGGCGTGCGTCTCGTGGTACGAGCTGCAGAGCGGGCGCGCGCGGCGCAGCTGTGGGTCCATGCTCAGCAGCTTCTCGACCGAGAGCTTGGCGAAATGCGGCAGCACGAGCGCTGGGTTCAAACCCGGTTTCTCGTACGCGTCGAGGACAACCGCGCAGCCATAGACCTCGTGCGTCTTTGGATCTTGAAGCGGCGCGGTGGCACAAAACTGGAAGACGCCCGACGAATAGTTGACGCAGCAGATGCGGCCCGCGAGGACCGCGCGGCTGCAGAGCAGGCGGAAGGCTTCGCCCATGACGAACGCGCCAAGGCCCTGCTGCGTGAGCACCGTCAGCGGCGCGCCGTCCTTGTAGAGCACAAGCGCACCAAAGGTACTGTCCATGGCGTCGCACATGCTCGCGCAGATGCTCGCGAGCGAGTCGGTTGCGCTCGCGGGCGCCTGGAGCTGCACGCTGCGGAGCTTGGGCACGCCGTGAATCGGCGACAGCATCGGGTGCGTCGCCACGAGCGGAAACGACTTGACGACGGGCGGCGGTGGTGGCACCTCCGACTCGGTCGACCGGGGCAGGCTGAACAGCGACTTTTGCGTGGACGGGACGCCACGCGATAGCGCTTCGTCTTGCGGCGCACTGTCGACGCACCACATGCACGCGAGCGTCAGCGCCGTGCCCGCGAGCGGGACACGCACGTAGCGTTCCTGGAGGCACTTGTAGCAGTAGATCTCGCCGCACTAGACCGACGATATAGGCATGAGACCGACGTGTCGAGGAGAGAGATGGACGTACGACGCGGCAGTGGTGCTTGCGGCGGAAGAGGCGAAACTTCTTCACGCACGCATTGCACCGGTCCGAATGCGCGTCGGGTTTCCAGCCCGAGAGAGGCACGCCTTGCAGGACATCGATTCCGCGCAGCGCGTCGGCTTCGTCGGCTACGTACTTGGTCATCTCTTCGTTGGCGAGTAGTGGCCAACGCGACGGTGGCGAGGTAGCGGACAAACACAACTATGTACTGCTGCTTCGGGCAACCCAGTTGGCGCTGGACTCTCTCCCGAGGTTGCCTTAATTTTTGGCGCTGAGAAAGGCCAGGGCCGACTTTACACTATGCGATTGTATGCTGCCCGCGGGTGTCATGGGACACAGCAGGTGGCGCTGCGGACACCACCCTCTGCCGCGAGCGAGCTCCCACCGCAAGCTCGTGGATTGGTGCGAGCGTAGCCACGTGGAGCTTCGAGTCTCCGACGCAGCCGAGGCCACGACCAAACAAGTGGACGACGCAGACAAGGCGAGTAGCTGGCGCTATTGGATAACTTTGGCGCAATTTCCCGGTGACGTCGGCCGAGCGGGCCGGAAGGGGCGGGAAAGATCAAGTGCGTGTGGCCACTGTGCTCTTGCATGCGCCATGACGACGTGGTGGATTAATGAAGTTAGCTGCCGCGGTACGTCGAGTACCCGAACGGGTTGATGAGCAGCGGGACGTGGTAGTGGCCGCCGACCTCGGTGATGCGGAAGGCGATGGTCACGCTCGGGTAGAAGAACTCGGCGACGTTGTTTTGTTCAAAGTACGCCTGTGTGTGGAAGGTAATGCGGCAGGTGCCACCGACGTCCTGGCCCGGCGTCGTGAGGCCAGGCACGCGTCCATCGGCGTTGGTGACGCCGGCGCCGATGCGTTCCCAGACGCCCGGCGCCGTCTCCCGCTCGAGCTCCACGCGCATGTCGGCGGCGGGGCGCCCACGGGACGTGTCCAAGACGTGCGAGGTCACGGGCGCGGTCGCAGGCATCACGTGCTTGGCGACGACCTCGAGTCGGTTCATACTATCCGGATGATGATCCGACCAGATTCGCGATCTTCCATGGCGATCTTCTGCCCACAGCGCTGGCTCCCGCCCAGCCAAGTTAGCTGGCCGAGAGCGACGGCCAACAGAAGCTAAGAGCTTCCCGGTGCAGGCGCAGGCGTCTATCATTCATTGGCACTGCGCGTCGAAGCCAACCGAGTCGCGTGGTGCTGGACCGCAGTCTCTAACGTTGCGAGCCATGTGACCGTATATTCGTTGAAATACACCGCATTGTATCGAAATATACGGTAATTTACCGCAGTTTGATGTCGAGTGGGCTGTGAGTCGTTGAGAGCTGTGGTCACGTCGTGCTATAGCGTTCGTGGAATCCTATGCATTGTGTTCATAAAGCGCATGCGAAGCAACCTGCTTGTTGCGCTTCCGAGAGAGCAGGATCGAGGGACAACGGTGTTCTGCCGAATTTAGCGTGCTCAACGTGGCACGCAGCAGGACGTTTCGAGTGGCATATGCCGAATCCAGCACACGCCGGGGCGCGATTGGTGCAGTTGCAACGGTGCAAGCCCGATGGAGACGGCCTACGCCAAGATCGCGGGCATCGCAGCCGCGCCGGCGCTCCGCGTCTCCGAGGCCAAGAAGCCGGACGAGGCCATGGAGGTCGCGCCGTTCACATCCGTTGCTGGCGACGAGGCCATCTACACCAACGCAGGCGGTCCGATCTGGGCCATGGACTGGCTCGTTGAAGGCGTCGGGCCGGCGTACTTGGCGCTGGGCGTGCATCCAACGAACGCTGACGGTAGCGTCTCGGACCACACGTACGACCAAAAGTATAGCGGCGAGAACGTCATCCAAGTCTGGAGCATGCCCAAGCAGCATCCCGAGACGATGGCATGGACTGTGGGGCTGCGCCACGACGGCGGATTTGCCTGGGACGTGCAGTGGAACAAGCACCGCGAGCACCTCCGGACCGAGTGGCAGTCGGGCGTCGGCCTCCTCGCGGCCGCGCTCGCCGACGGCCGCATCGTGCTCTACCACGTGCCGAAGAACTCGACCGAGCCGATTCTGGACCTGGCGCCGTTCTGCAGCACGACGAAAGGCCATAGCGTGACGCTTACGCTGCGCTGGAGCCTCGTGAATCCGTTCCAGTTTCTCAGCGGCGCCTGCGACGGTAGCCCCGCCGACTCTCTATTGAATGAGACATTGACCCTCCTTCGCAGGCTCGATTCAGCTCTGGAGCATCGCGGACGCGCCGACGCTGACGCCGCTTCGCCGCTTTGACGCGGGTACGTGTGACGGCGGCTACGACGAGGTGCGATTCACGGTCTCCTCTAGTCGACACGGTGTGCAAGCTGCCGAGCCTTGGCTGGGGCGCGGGCTGGATCGCTGTTCGCGACGTTGCATGGTGTCCGTACGACCCGTACATGTTTGCGTCCGTCGGCAACGTGCGTAGTCCATTGCCTCTCGACACGAGGCGAGTGTGTCTGGGTAGGACTCGATGCTGCGGATCTGGGACGTTCGCGAGCCGCGCGCGTGCATTCGGGCGCACCGCCTCCAAGGGCTGACGTGGGCGCTCTCGGTGCAGTGGTTGTCCAACTGCTTGCTCCAAGTCGCGGGCGATCAAGGCTGCGTGCTCTCGGTCCATCTCTACGTATGTCGTACAACTCCAATATCGACGCCTCATGCCTCCTCTCGTAGATGGGTACGTCGACGGTGGTCACGTGGCACCCGCAGGTCGACAGTCCTGTGTGGCAGCTCGGCTACACCGAGGTACATCTTGGCTGCGACGTCGCCGTAATGCTGATGCTCGATAGGAGCTGAACGAGCAGAGCATCGTCGCGTCCTGCTGCGCGGCCGGCGCGATCCGCTACGTCTTGGGCCTCGGTCCCCACGTGAAGCGCAAGCGCGTGCCAGCGGTGCAGCTCGTGCAATGGACGCGCCCGGGCGACGGCCACCTCGAAGTGGATTTCAACCAGCGGCTCGCGCCCGAGCCCAACATGAGCAATTCGGTACACGCCGTTGTTGTGATGGTTGAATATGCATAGTCCATGGGCGTAGGAAAAGCGCACGTTTCCGGCGCGCGACGTGGCTATCCACCGCCTTGCCTTTGGCCCGATCGCGTCGCATTGGCAGCATACGATGGTCTTTGGCGGCCATCGAGGGCTGCTCGTCGTGCGCCAGTATGCGCCAGACGCCTTTGGCAAGCCGAGTGCGTTCCGGCTCCACAAGCCCGTGATCGGCCGGCCCCGAAAATACCCGGTGTCGACGCGCAAGAAGACAAATGTGCGCGGCCGGCCGCGCAAAGCCATCAAGGCGGCGGTCGTCGACGACGACGACGATGACGGCAAGGAGACGGTGTCGAGGCCAGCGAAGGCGAAGCGGCGTCGGGCACGAGCCAGAGCGAATTGGATACGAGCGACATGGCCGACGACGACTCGGACGACGATCTTGCGGCGAAAGGAAAGAAAAAGGCGCGGAGAGCCCCCGTTGTTTCCGTGCCCACGCGAGTGCTTGCGCGGCGCGTCAAGGCCGCCAAGCCGCCAACAGACAACGACGACGACGACGACGACGATGACGACGACAAGCCGCTTGCACCTGCGGACGACGACGACGACTCGAACGACGACGACAAGCCACTTGCACCTGCGGACAAGCCGGCCACGTCGACCAAGAAAGCACGGGACGCACCGGCCAAAACGACGGCCAAAACCGCCAAGACTTCGCCCAAAGCCACCGAGTCTAAGCCTGCTGTCGCGACGACCACGGTCGTTTTGAAGCCACCGACGTTGCTGACCAAGAAGCCAAGAGGCCGGCCCCGCAAGGTAGTGCCCGAGGCAACGACGACGGCAACGGCAACGACGACGGCAACGACAACGACGACGGCAACGGCAACGATGACGGCAACGACAACGACGACGGCAACGGCAACGACGACGCCCGAAGCGGAGGCGCCACCGATCAAGACGGAGCGGCAGCAGTCGCTCTTGGACTTTTTAGAGACGCCGACCAAACCGGCGTCAGCACCGGTGACCTCGGGCGCTGCGAAGAAGCCCCGTGGGCGACCCCGCAAGATCGTGATGCCCGAGCCAGCGCCGGCCGAGGCGGCAACCGATGCGGGTGTAGCGACAGTCGCCGCCGATGTAGCAACAGTCGCAGCCGATGCGGGTGTAGCGACAGTCGCAGCCGATGCGGGTGTAGCGACAGTCGCAGCCGATGCGGGTGTAGCGCCACCTTTAAGCGTCGCAACGGCAGAGATTGCGCACTCGTTCTTGATGCTGCAGCCATCGGACCGCGTCGCGCCCAAGCGTCGTGGACGGCCGCTGAAGGAGAACGCGACCGAGCCCGATGTCAAGCGACCTCGCGGACGGCCGCGCAAACACCCGGTCAAGGACGAGATGCCCAAGCGTCCTCGAGGACGACCCCCGAAGCGGCCGGTGCCGACGGGCAACGACGACGGTGCGTCGACAGTCACTGTGACTCCAGCGCCGCCGCCTACCGAGGCAGCGCCGTCGCCTGCCGAGGCATCGGCTGCCACCGACGTAGCACCGTCGCCTGCATCGGCATTGGTTGCCACCGACGTAGCACCGTCGCCTGCATCGGCATTGGTTGCCACCGACGTAGCACCGTCGCCTGCATCGGCATCGGCTGCCACCGACGTAGCGCCGTCGCCTGCAGCCAACGTGCCCACGAAGCAGCTGTCGATTGCGGCGTCTGCTGTAGCCACCGAGGCGGTCGCCCAAAAGCCGCGGGCCAAGAAGTCGCCTGCCGCCAAAAAGCCAGTGGCGCCCAATGACGAGACGCCGATCAAGCAAGAGCCGAATGTGTCGACGCGACGAAGCCGCGCGGCCGAGCCCGAGGCGCCCGTGTCGTGGGTCAAGGGCGGCATCGTGCACGTGTTGCCTCGGACGTGGGCGGGCATGAACAAGCTCGGTGGCACGGGTCGCATTACAAGTCTCAACGACGGTACGCATCTCGTTTTCGCGTTGGTTTGTGTGCTGATTACGCTCGCAGATGGCTCGGTGAATGTCAAGTATGTCCTCGGCGGCCAGGACAAGAACGTGCGGCGAGAGTTCATCACGTCCCCCGCAGTCGCGATCGCGACGCCGGACGACGCCAACAAGCGGCGGCGCCTCGACTAACCACACTGTAAATGCCACCAATTGCTGTACGCCGTGGTCATAAAACGCTAAGAATGGGGTGCCACGTGGCAGCTTGGTGAAGAAAGGATCGGTGCCAGAGACGGCGCATTGGTAAAGCCACGAGGTCGAGACGCGCGCGCCTAGCTACGGCACCCATGTGTCCCGCGTCCTGATTCCAACGATTACGAGATCGCGCCTGGTATGAAGCGACAGTAGACGAGCAGAGCACCGCGGTCGAGAGTCGAGAGCCCAGGCTGCGCTCTCAACTGCCCGTGAAGACCACGGAAGTGCCGGTAGTTGGATTGCTTTGAAGGTCGTCAGATTGGCGGCGGCCACGCGTGTGAGTAATGCTGTCGCTTGTCACCGCACCGCGCCATTTCACAACTTCCGACATGGAGTGGATCTACCTCCTCGTCCTGCTGCCGCTGCTCGACTACGTCCCGAGCTGCTGCTACGCGCGGCGCTTTGTGCTGATTGCGCCCAAGGGCGACGCGGCGACGACGGGCCGCGCCAACGTGGCGCGCGTCGTGCAGCAGCGCGAGCGCATGGAGACTCGGTTCGCCTACCACCTCATCCCGCTCGTGCTTGCACTCGTGTTTCTCCAGCTCTGCGCCGTCTACAGCATGCGATTGCCCATGTATCTACTCGGCGGCCTCATTGCTCTCATGGTCGTCCTCGTTGCGCAGTGCATTCGGCTCGCGATCGCATTGCGCGTGCTCCAAGACGAACAAGACCAGTGGGAAGCGTGGATCGAACGCCAGCTCTCGCCCTATTACACTAGCTAGTATAGTATCGTCTTCTTTTTATATAATATATATGGATGTAGTTAAACCTCTTGCGATACTCCAACCCGACTCGTCCCTGCTGGCGCTACGAGAGCTCGCATCGGAATGAGACAAGGGGATTTCTGCTTGTTGGTGGAGCTTGCGTTGGTTTAAGGAAGTACTGGAATTAGGTCGCTGCATGCATCGACGGGCCCAGCACTCGGTGCAGAGGTGTTGCAAGTGTCGGCCCTTGCTTACCAGCAACAAACGGCGTAGCTTTGCCGCCGATGCTGGAAGGCCTTCACACAGCGGGTCGTAACGCGCCTCACCCGCGGCCACAAGCGCCCCCGGGCGACTACAGAAAAAAAGACGAGCCCCCATGCCGCCGCCTGCGCAGCCACGGCCCGGCAAGCGAATGATGAAGGTGAGGTAACAACGAAGACAACGCGTTTACATATATTGCTTGCACTGGACGAATGTGCACAGGGAGCGGATAGAAATATGGCTAAATATGTTATATGTGTCTAAATATGGTACATACCATAATTAATAGGTCGACCTATTACGCGTGCTGTAGGCCTCGAACGCCAATGCGGCGTAGCGCGTTGTGGTCTCGAAAGCGTCTGCTACTACCTCGCCACAGTATCTGCGATTTCGTTTCAAATGTCATTTGGCCGCCCGACCGGCCGCGCTTCGCGGACGTGGCAAAACACAGTGCACAGGATTGGATGAAATGATTGAATAATGAGCCAATGAAAGCAATTAAATTTGTTCATGTTATTTCACACAAACGGCACCTTTTGTTTTTACAATGTGCGAGGCCGATCATTCTGCCACGTCAAGTTGCACCTTGCCCGATTCGATATAAAGGGCCGCATGTAGGTTGTAGTTCAGTAGGTTACGTTATTAGATTATGGTTGATATACTAATGAATGTGTTTCTTAGTTGGTCGCTTCGGACGTCTTGACACGGCGACGGTAGAGCTCAACAAGCGGGAGCATCAAGATGGCCAGGCCGAGCGAGATGCTGTAGATGACGCGCCAGGGGCCGAGGCCGCCGTGGGCGGCTTCGACGAGCGGAATCTCGAGGAGAGCGACGATGGCGGCCGCCGTGTTGACGGCGCCAATGATCTTACCCATGTTGACCGAGCCAAAGGTCGCCGCGCCGCAGGCCGCGACGTTGGAGTAGAACATGGCGCGGAAGGCCGTGAAGAGAATAAAGCTCACGACCTGGAGAGCGAGGACCGGGATCAGCGACACAATGTGGTAACCGATGCAAAGCGCAGTTGTGAGGCCCATGGACGCCGGGAGGCCGTAGCGGCCGACGACCCAGTCGATGACTGGAATGAAGATAAAGCCGGCGGGAAGGATCCAGCCGAACGCCTTGGTGTAAACCTTGCTCGTATCATCGTAGTTCTACGCGACAAAGCATGAGCTCCAATTTGAATCCGGTATAAAAAGGCATACCGCGAGCGTTTGGTTGACGGTGCCAAAGTAGTAGGACGACTGGAGGTTGTGCACGGCCGTGAACGTGAGGAGGAAGCGGAACTCAAACGACTTGAGCTGCGTGAGGAGCGGCGACTCGGCGAGCGGTCTCTCTTCTTGGAGAACGCCGTACGACGGGCTCAAGGCGGCCTCCGGGTCGCTGTTGTCCGAGACACTGTCGATCGTGCCTTCGAGCACTCTGTTCTGGCGTTCGATGATGCACCAGAGCGCGACGAGCGAAAAGTACACGACGAACGCGACGCCAGCGTAGAAGTAGAGAAGCGACTGACGGCTGTAGCCGCCCGACTTGTGGATCGCGTAGAGCACGGACGGCATGACCGCGCTGCCGTCGAAGAGGCAGCAGACACCGGCGATGATGGCCGTCTGCCACCGAAGGAGCACAAAGCCGGCGCGGTACGAGGCGAGGAGCGTCGCGCTCCCCGACATACCAAGCAGACCGTAGCCGAAGACAAAGGCATCGAAGGTGGCCGAGTCACTGACGGCCATGAGGAGGTAGCCCGCGACGGCAAAGACACCTGCGACGACCGTCATCCACATGGGGCCGACCTTGTCGAGCACGATGCCGGTCGGGAGCGAGCAGAACGAGAGGAGGAACTGCGCAACGCCGTAGATGAGGCTGAGCTTGGCGTCTTGGTCGGCGCAGCGACCGGTCGATGGGTTGATCGTCTCGGGCGTGCAGCGTTCGGCGTATTGGTTTTCTTCCTGCAGCATGAGCAGCATCGAGGCCCAGCCAAAGATAAAGCCGGCAAAGAGGAGGTTGGAGAGCCACACGAGGAGGACGAGCGCCCACGAGACGACCTCGCTACGCGTGTAGCCACCGGGCTTTTCAATGTCGATCGACTGGGAGGACCGGCGAATTGTTGCGATGGTCATTTTGTGCCGGTGGAAAATGAAAAATGAAAAGGTGGCTGGGAGAGCTGCCAAGACAGCCGTGCCAGTTGTACCCATGTGTCCGCGATTCGTTGCACCAGATGTTGTCGATGCTACGTTCGGCGGCGCGGACTGTGGACCAACGCTCTGCCGGTTGCTACCACCGCTTCTTGATGCAGCAGCGCTGATTCAGGACGCAACAAGCGGCTCGTTTGCGACGAAGGATGCATCTCGCTTCAGTGGTGCGAAAGCGTTGACGGGGCGAGAAGGGGGCCTGCGACGAGCCTTGGAGAAAAGGGCGCCAAGTGTGTGACAAATCTATGCACCCGGGGCGCCGCCGATTTGTTGAATGTGCCGGATGCCAAGTTGAAGTATGCGGACTGGCTCGGGCCATGGCGGTCGAACCCCGTCCATTCGCCAGCGTTCGTGCCTTGGTTGCTGCTCGATGCTGTGACGTCCCAGCGCCTGTCGCGTGAGTCAATTCAAGGTGCCGTGGGTGAAAGCGTGGGAACTGCAACCGCGCACCGAGTTCGATCTTGTAGCGCTTGTATCTTTGGAGTCTCGAAACTTCGAGCGTCCACGCGATCACTGTCCAGAGACGTCCATGATTATCTCTTGCCGGTTGATGATATTGTTTCACGTCCTCTCAAATATTGAGAGCGATGGGTAAAAGTAAATCGCTTGCTCCTCGAAATGAACAAAGACTTTGCAAAGACCATGTACTAGTAGTACTAATAGAACCCAAATACAAGTACCAGGTATGAGCGACGAGTAATTGATGGCGTGCTGGGCTTCTGCACCTAACATCCACAGAGTGTGGCTATCGTTGATGTCGAAGAAGCGGTCATGCGGCGTTGCAGCGCGAGTATTTATGATGCAGATTACATCGTGTACGCGCGCTGGCAGCCTCACCGAGACTGCAATACCCAGGGTAATAAAACACTTTATCCCCTTGGCAACACTGGACCAAACGAGAGCACGCAGTTTTAGCTGTTCGTTGCTCATCGGAATGCAGCAAATTTGCATGGGGCTGGGGTCTATTGCATGCATTTGATGTCTCGTGGAATGAGCATCAAAGACAGACCAATATGGTGAGGGCCGCTGCAATAATTGCGTCGACACAGTGTGTGAAGGGGTGCAAAAAAGAAGGCTTTTGTCAGCGGCGGGATTTGAACCCGCGAGTGCGAACACACTAGAACTTGAGTCTAGCACCTTGGACCGCTCGGTCACACTAACATAGCTATTAAGTCCGCAGTTTTTAAACTATATATTTACCTATATTTTTAATTTTAGAAACAAGATGCCACTAAATATACTTTAAAAGATTCATATTATTTCAAAGAATATTACAGAATTTAATATTAATGTGTTTGAAATGAATGACAACACATTATAGCCTATAAATGTCAAGATTCTTCACCAAGGGTCATATGAATTTATTTATAGTTTAAAAACTGCGGACTTAACAGCTATGTCAGTGTGACCGAGCGGTCCAAGGTGCTAGACTCAAGTTCTAGTGTGTTCGCACTCGCGGGTTCAAATCCCGCCGCTGACAAAAGCCTTCTTTTTTGCACCCCTTCACACACTGTGTCGACGCAATTATTGCAGCGGCCCTCACCATATTGGTCTGTCTTTGATGCTCATTCCACGAGACATCAAATGCATGCAATAGACCCCAGCCCCATGCAAATTTGCTGCATTCCGATGGTTAATGCGCAAGTCGGGGACGCTGTTTGTCCAAGCTTTCACTAATTCAAATGAATTATTTATTCCCTAGCACTCATTGCACCCTGGACTTTGAGACGTCGTCTTTGATGCAGGAATGATGTTGCTCAGCGCCCAACTTGACTCATTACCTTTACTCAACGGTCGATTTGAACCATCGCTCAATCCCAAATCCAGGCGAAACGTCGCGATGTTTCGTGGATTCTGGAGCCTGGCGTCGGTCTTGGACGGCTCTGGAGTTCTTTTTGTATCGTTCAATGCGTCGAGTCGCCTGCCGACGTCGTTTCGCTCCTCGAAGCGCTGCCATGGACTCGGTACACGCCAGCGCTGGACGCGCTGCACACGCTGTTGACAACGATGCGGAACCAAGATGTGCACGGCAAGTCTTTATGGCCACGGCCTCAGCTCTGGGCGACCCCCGAGGCCGCGATTCCGTATGTTGCTACTGCTATGCCCGCCTTCCCTGGTCTCTACGTCGACTGCACCTCGGTGAGCGACCGCTGGCCTGCGCCGCAAGGCAGCGTCTTTGTCTCGCCCTTCTGCGCGTTTGTAGCCCAGTGGGCACACAAGGTTGAGCGCTTCGACGAGACGTTTCGCTTGACATTCACCGACGCGCAAGGGACAGAGTTTTCTCGGCTGCTCCTGCTGTGCACAAAGGTCAAGGCAGTCATTCTCTATAACGACAACGGCACAGACCTTCGGACGATCTTGAAGACGCCCTCCCGCATCTCGGAGCTCCATCTCATCGACTTTGACGACATCAATTCAGGGACGCGAGACGACTGGGCTGTGCCCGTCATGCAGTGGCTGGCACTCGATCGCGCCTTTCGTCTCGGCTTGTCGGGCTGCAAATCGCACTGCGATGCGGATGTCGCACGCGCCATTGCGTCCGCACCAGCAGTCTCGACCCTCCACTTGAACGACTGCGACGTTATTTATGCTGGCCTGGCGGCGAACGCGCTGCCGTTGTGCCACGTCACAGAGCTCGTTGTGGATGCGACGTTGGAGCGCCTTGCACCCTTGCTTGATATCTCGAAGCTCACAACACTCGAGCTCTGCGGCGACGGCAACGAGCTGCTCGCGTGCTCGCTTGGTGCACTGCAGACCTGCTCCGCACTGGAACATCTCTCGCTTGATTATGTGGCGGTATACGGACCTGCGCTCCACACATGGGAAATCGACGCCAAACATCGCTCCGTGAGCGTTGTCAGTTCGGACTTGGATGCCTCCATTTTCGAAACTACGCTCGACTGGATCGCAAGGTCCAAGACGCTCGAATCGATCACGTGGGTGCAGTGTGCTGGTGTCGCAGAGACTTGGACGATTTTGGCAGCGCTCTCCAGCGCTTGGTACAGAACGGAGTTCAATCGGTCACGTACGAGCACAACGAAGCAGCACTGCAGGACGTGAACGCGAAAACGCTGGCCGACGCGCTGCGTTCCCTCCACGCTCCGACCCGTTGTACATTGGACCTTTGCTGGACGTACGCAAGCGTGGAAGGCTATCGGATGCTGCTGGACGCACTACCCACCTGCATGAACTTGACGCTCGTCCTGTGTTTGGAGCGACCAAACTGGCTCGCCGAGCACATACAAACCACTGGAGGCCATGTGACGATGGACGTGCGTGGGGACCGGTACGAGCTGCACAGTCGACGTCGGACCTCGTGGCTGAGCGAGGGTCCAAGCGAGTAGTCGGCGTCAAGCACTAATTCGTGGAGTCTTTTTCTTCCTCTCTGCTGGGATGCCGATTACGCCACTGTGTAAATGGATATCAACCCTAACCCTCCTCGCCTCCGCCATCCGACGAGCAACACGGCGCCTGGATTAGACAACAGAATGTGCGCTTAGACCGTTGTCTTGGCGTAGAACCGGCGGCGGTACACAAGGATGACGGGCACGAGCGCGATGGCGAGGCCGAGCGAGACCGCGTACAGGACGTTCCAACCCGTCTCACTCGAGTTGGCCGACTGCGCGGCGGGGATTTCAAGGAGCGCGACGATCGCCGACGACGAGTAAACAGTGCCGAGGATCTTGCCCATGTTGGTGTGGCCAAAGGTCGTTGCGCCGCACGTGGCCACGTTGGCGTAGAAGAGCGCGCGAAAGGCCGTGAAGAGCAAGAACGTGAGGATTTGAAGTGGGAGCGAGTGGATCATGGCGAGAATGTGGTAGCCAATGCTGAGGAGCGTCGTCGAGAGCATCGAGATGGGGAGGCCGAAGCGGTCAACGAGCGTGTCGATAACGGGGATGAACACAAAGCCGGCGGGAAGGATCCACCCAAACGCTTTCGTGTACACCTCGTCGACGTCGTCGTAATTCTACAAAACTCGATCAAAATTTCGCATAAAACAACAGCATTCGAGATTGATTCGAGACCGTAAGTGTTTGGTTGACAGTGCCAAAGTAGAAGGACGACTGGAGGTTGTGTATCTTGCGAGGAAGCTTGCAAATCGGAAAGTGGTTGCATTCTTCCGGCTCCGAAAGGTCGGTCCGTTACTCTGACTAAAGATCTCGTTTCGACTAACTAAACGACTAAAACTAGTCACACGCAACATAGATGACGTGGCGGTCCACAATGTCGTCTTCCAACGAGCGACATCGTAACACACCCCCTGGAGCGACACCGTCAGCTACTGGTGCATCCCGAGAATCTTGAGGCACGACTGGAGCATGTCCTTCGTGGCCGGCTTCGTGAGGAAATCGGCGGCCATCTCCTTTGTCTTGACGTAGCGTAGCTGGATAATGTCGTCCTTGACGAGACCGCGCACAAAATGGTGGCAGACGTCAATGTGCTTCGATCGCTCCGTCGTCATCGCGTTTTCAGCGATCTTGATCGCCCCTTGGTTGTCCGAGTACAAGAGCACCGGCAGGTCGCGGACACCCAAATCTCCAAGCAGGCCGATGAGCCACTTGGCTTCTCGCGCTGCAGCCGCCATGGCCACATACTCGGCAGCGCATGTTGAGGTCGCCACAGTTGACTGTCGTGTTGACTTCCATGCGATCGGGCCGCCGCAAGTGATCCACACTTGCCCCGAGATCGAAAGTCGATCGGGTGGTGGCGCCCAGCTGGCATCGCAATAGCCATGCAGATCGCTCGAGGTCTTCGTGCTGTACGTGATACCCACGTCTTTCGTCGCCTGGAGGTACCGGAACACGCGCTTGACCGCCTGGAGGTGGATCTGCTTGGGCGAGTTGAGGTAGCGTGACAGTCGCATCACGGTGTGTGCAATGTCCGGTCGCGTGCACGTCATGAGGTACACCAAGCTTCCGACCATCGCACGGTACGTCGCTTCATTGGCCGGAGACGACTCGACGTCCCAATCTTGGCCTTGTACCTCCGGCGTATCGACGCCGGCGCAATCCTGCATCTTGAATCGTTCGAGAATCTTGATGATGAACGATGTCTGCTTGAGCACGAGCTCCGTCTCGTTGCGCACGACCTTGACACCCAAAATGTGCGCGACCGGTCCTTGGCGCTTGAGCTCGATTTCCTTCTCGAGACTCACAAAGATGTCGTTGATCTCAGCGTCCGTCTTGGCGCAGATGATGAAATCGTCGACGTAGACGCACACAAACTGGAGCCATCCGTTGCGCTCGCGCACGTAGAGACACGGATCATACTCGCTGCGACGGAAACCCATCTTCTGCAGCACCGTGTCGCACATGCCGTTCCAGTGGTACGCGCTCTGCTTGAGGCCGTAGATCGCCATGAGGAGTAAAAGCTTGACAAGCGGGTCCTCGTCCTCGTAGCCCGGCGGCATGTCCATGATGAGGTCGACGTCTCTATCGAGCTTGCTCTGAAGGTACGCATTGACCGCGTCACCTTGGTGGATCGAGTAGCCCCAATGAAAACACAGCGCCATGATGAGGCGCAACGTTGTCCACTTGACGACCGGCGCAAACGTCTCGTTGTAGTCGACACCATGACGTTGGGTAAAACCCTTGGCCACGAGACGCGCCTTGTATCGGATCACATTGCCGTCGCCATCGTACTTCTTGGCATAGACCCATCGACAACCAATGGCCTTGGTGCCGCCCGCAGCACGAATCTTGCGCCACGTCTTGTTCTTGAGCAGCATCTTGAGCTCGGTGTGCTCCGCCTCGAGCCACTTGTCGCGGTCGGGGCTGGCCATCGCTTCGGCATGTGTATTCGGGATGTCGTCGAGTACGTTCTTCGCGATTTCGTCCTTGACGTTCAACAACCGCTCGAAATGACCTTCGTGCGTGATGTAGTCGAGGGCCACCAGCCCGTATCGTTCTGGAGGCTTTCGTGCACGACCTCCACGGCGTGGTCCTTGCTGTTGTGGCTCGTCTTCAGGATCGACTTCTTCTCCATCGCTGACATCGGAGCCTTCTAGTTGCACGACACGACCGTTTCGATCTTCATCAAAATCACCCCCACGATCGACACGGTCGTCGTCGTCGTCACCCCCATCTTCGTCACCGCTGTCGCCGAGGTCGACTTCCGTCTCCGGGTGGCCGTCGTTCATAAAACGGTCTTCAAAGAAAAAGACCTCTGGTGTGATGACAATCTTGTTGGCCGCAACGTCGTAGAGCTCGTAGCCTTCCTGGTCGCTGGCGTAGCCAACGAAAACGACCTTGGATCCCTTTGGCTTGAGCTTGTTGCGCTTGCCCGGCTTGACCTTGAGGCGCACCGCCATGCACCCCCAGACGCGCCAGTTCTTGTAGTCCGGCTTGTGGTTGTCGCCAAACATGAGCTCAATCGGCGTCTTGAGGCCCGTCGCCGAGTTCACGATGCGGTTAAGGATATAAACGGCCGTCTTGACCGCCTGGCCCCACCACCGGCGAGACATTCCAGCGTGGAACATCATCGCGAGCGCCATCTCCATGATCGTCCGGTTGTAGCGCTCAGCCTTGCCGTTCTGCCACGGACAGTCGGAGCTGGCCGTCTCGCGCTTGATTCCGGCCTTGGCGAGGAACTCGTCAAACTCATCGTTGATGTACTCTCCTCCGAGATCGGATCTGAGCACCTTCATCTTGTTGCCCGTCTTTGTCTCGACAAAACTCTTGATCTTCTGGAAAGCGTCGAGGACCTGGTCCTTGGTCTTGAGCAGCTTCAAGATGACGAAGCCCGTGTTGTTCTCGATGAACGTCACGAAGTACTTGTAGCCACCAATCGCTTCCGTCGCGAAAGCGCCCTTGACGTCCGTGTGCCACAGCTCTCCCAGTTCCCATGATCGAGAACTCTTCTTTGGGTGCGGTTGTCTGTGCATCTTGGCCTCGATACATCCGTCGCACAGCTTGGACATCTTGCTGTCGAGTTGCTCCGGCAGCCCTTCGTGCTCCTTGCTGCACTTGATCATCGTCTCCACGGGAATGTGCCCCATGCGCTGATGTTGGAGCTTCGTCGTCGACTCGACCGTCGCGTTCGCCTTCTCATCCGGCATGTCCTTGAAGACATAAAGTCCCGAGACTTCATCATACTCGGCCACCACCAGCGTCTCGCCCTTGAACGTAAGCGAGCACACGCGATCGTGAAAGTTGATTCCGACTTCCGACCGGTTGACGCAGATCTTGGCAATCGAGATGAGCGTCATCATGAGGCCCGGCACGTAAAGAACGTCGGTGAGCGTGACCTTGCCCCCGATCTTCATCTTGCCAATGCCCACAGCCTTGAGCGTATGGCCGCTTGCCACTTCAACCGTGCGGTTGCAAGGCACCATGTCAAAAATCAAACTGGCATCGCCCGTCATGCTGCTAGTTGCGCCCGAGTCGATCGCCTTGATCAATTTTGTCGCCGTCATGGCACTGCAGGCCACGTCGAGCTTGACCGTGCAAGCCCCATCAATGTCGAAGACGTCGAGCACACGCTGTTGCTGCTCCTTGAACTTCTTCGACTTCTCGGCCTCATCGCGCTTCTCGCGCAGCGCAAAAGTAAACTCGACCGGGTCGAGCTTCTTGGCCTTCTTCTTCTTCGGCGCTTTCTTGATCACGTCCGTGAGCAGCACCTTCTCTTCGAGGTCCACATCGTTGTCCTGGACGATCGCAGCCTTCTCCTTCTTGTAGAACTGCTTCTTGTGCTGGTATCCGTGTCTCTTGCCTCCGCCTGGTTGGTTCTTTGGGCAGTAACTCTTGATGTGACCAACTTCGCCGCAGTTGAAACACGTCGAGTTCTTGTGCCACGGCGCTGGCTCCCGTTGCTCTTGCTGGTTGTACCCTGCCACGAGAGCACTGTCGTTGACCCGCATGCTGTCCTGCGACCCGCCGCCGCTGGACTTGACGAGGAGAATTCCTCGCTTCTGCAAGTAGTTGTACTCTTGGATCAGCATCGTGAACGCCATCGCGATCGTCCGTTCGGCGTTGACGAGTTTCATGATCTCACGCGACACGCTGCGCATCTCCACTGGCATCGTCGAGAGAAGCCAAATGACGCGCTGGTTCTGCGCTTTCGTGGACATCTTGACACCAGCGTTGAGCATGTGCATGAATATCGCGTTGACCCGAGAACGAAACGCGACAAGCGTCTCTGCAGCAGGACGCCACTTCATGCTGTAAAGCTGCGTGTTGAGCTCGACGATGTCGACTTGTTGTCGCGGCTGGTGATGGTGGCAGAGGATGTTCCAGAGCACGTGCGCCGATCTGTCCATACTCCAGTCGAAATGCACCGACTGCGAGATGTCGAGGTACTCGAGCAAGTATCCCAAGGCTTGAGCATCTTCCTCGGCGTCATATTCCTTCGTCTTGCTGATCTTGACCTTGACGATGTCTCCTGCCACATTTGTTGCACCGGCCTTGTAGAAGCCACCCTTCGTCTGGTCTTTCGCGTCCGTCACCACCACATTTGTCCACTGTGGCTCGTCGATGTACGCCCCAAGCTTCTTCTGGTTGAGCTTGCCGATCATGAACATGGCCCACTCTGCGTAGTTCCCCTCTCGCAACTTGACCATGCTTCCTTGACCTTCCTTGAGCGTCTTCTTCGTGTAGTTGGGCTCAGAACCTCTTGCGAGGAAGCTTGCAAATCGGAAAGTGGTTGCATTCTTCCGGCTCCGAAAGGTCGGTCCGTTACTCTGACTAAAGATCTCGTTTCGACTAACTAAACGACTAAAACTAGTCACACGCAACATAGATGACGTGGCGGTCCACAATGTCGTCTTCCAACGAGCGACATCGTAACAGTGTACAGCGGCAAAAAGCAGCAAGTACCGAAACTCGAACGACTTGAACTGCGTCTGGAGCGGCGCAGCCGTCAACGGCACCATCTACAGACCTCGCCTCAAAATTTAGACTTCAGACAGATCCATGTAATACCTCGTCCATGGCTTCGTACTGCGGACTCGACGGCGCGTCGGCTTGTGCTTCCTCGTCGATGGCAGCGGCGGTGTGGCGGCTATGGAGCCACCAGAGGCCGACGAGGAGCCCGTATACTGCCGCGGCCAGGATC